AAAAACCAATTTAGACTTACCCGATTTGAGACAAAATTATAAACAGATTTATAATGAAATATTGGACACCTTTTTAATGCAAATCAAAGTTAGATTTGAAGATTTACTCAAATTAAACTACTTTGATTTGTTGTTGTTTGAAAACTTTTCGTCCTATACCAAAGATTTTCCCCAAAAACTTTATAACGACTTGCAAGCTCAGTATCCATTTTTCGATGTTATTCAACTGAAAAATGAATTAATTGATTACGATTAATTCATTTTTCACATCAGCACAGCGACCCTCAAATGTTTCAAAATTGCAAGTCTCCTTCAGATTTATTAAATTTTATGTTTAAAAATGATTTGAGAGATTGCATGCCTGAGTTATATAAACTTATATCTATAATTGTGACAATTCCCATAACATCAGCGTCAGTTGAGAGAAATGTTTCAGCATTGAAAAGAATTAAATCCTTTAGTAGAAATTCGATGACTCAAAATAGAAATAGATTAAGTAATATATCTCTTCTTTCAATTGAAAAAGAGTATATAAAAGATGTGACAGGCAATCCCCGATTTTATGACGAAGTAATTGACTATTTTGCCAATTTTAAAAATAGAAAGATTCCTCTTATATTTAAAGCAGAGTAAGTCTGTATATATTATATACGGTGTATAAAAATGCATATTTTATTTATTTAAGTTAAGCACTTAAATGTTTTTGTTTTTATTTTGTAATTTGTTTTTTTGCGTCTTTGTTCGTCTTGGTTAAGAACGAATGTTATGTTTACTTTTAGTTTCTTTTTTTATTTTTTTCCTTTCTATCCCAAAATTGCAAAATACACCTTTCAAAATGCGGGACCCTCGCAATAAAATTTACTTTTAGACCTGTTTTTATAAGCATAATTAAGTACCTAATTGTGCTTATAAAATATTTGTAGCAATTTTTAATAAAACTGTAATATTAGAAAAGTATTATTTTTTGACTGAGAAGAGTTAATTTATATTAAATAACTCAAAGACAACCCTTTTTCCTTGAACATTTTTTATTAAAATTATTCATTTGAACTGACAGTCAATCATTTTACTGAAAACTCTCTCATCTACAGATTTCAACATATACTTATTCTATATGTTTTCAATGAAAATCTATAAAAGTTTTATGTTTTTTTATTCATTGAGCAACACATTGTAAGCTACGTTTAACCTGAAATGATAATGTAATGTGTAACCTCCAAGTGGGGATTTTGGAATATTTCTAAACAGGTTGTCTTGGATGGAGAAAATTGCAGTTCTAGTGTTTGGAAAAAATGCTTGTTTTTCAATTTACTCTACGTCAGAGGTTCCAGTTTCACATTTCATTTGATATTTAATATAAATACAAAGACTACCATCTTTTCAAGCACTTCGATAACTCGTAAAAACGGACAAAATTTTTTGAATACATATAAAGTATAGCTTATATATATTTTACATTGTGTGTTGTCTACACTGTATGTTATATTGGTGAATAAATATATTGTATTTTATGTAATTACTCTTTCTCATTATCTGTCAGAAAAAAATTTGACTGGATATATACTGATATAGATACTGATATATGTGATATAGTCCTACGCGTGAAATTTTGAGAAACCAAGAAGCTATTGAATTGACTGACGAGGTCAGCGACATCTCATCCTAAGAAGCCATCTATGAGATTGACAATTGACAGAGAACTCATATCTAGAATGTCAATGGTAAAAGTGGCTCCCCAGACGGTCAGTTGTAAAGTCAATCATCGACCGACGATGGTATTCGTTTTCTGCCTTTCACTGCAAGGCAGTGCAGAGCTCAAACAACGCATTAATAATTCAACACCATTCACTCTTTAATGTGAGATTTCCACTTGAAAGATTACAAAGCCCATAAGTAAGATTTTGGTGTATCATGAAATTTATAGTACCTACTTCAACCACCAGAGAGCGATGAAAGTACAATGTCGCCCATGGACAAAGGAATACTAGTATTCATATTCATAGGGCCATAATGTCGGAATTTAATTTGATTACCAACAGAAATGGGTAGAAGTTTCTGACAACCAGCCACGGAAGTTGTTCAAGTGACTTGGCACATTTGATTTCACCAAGAGTGTACATATCAGAAATATGCGATGGACTGTGGTTGCTAATCGTTTCGAGGTTAAACTCAATACAACTCGAACTTCACTGTTTGAGAATTCTTCCATTTGGAGAACTGTGTTTATATGGAATAATCTTGCAAAAAAGTTGAGAGAAAATCACATTCGTGCTGATAGTTTATATTATTGCAACAATTCAGAACCAAAAGAGGTCTTACTGCACCAAGAAAATTCATTTGTTGTATAGAGATACTTACTGTTTGACCCTAATCTTTCTTTATTTAGTGTTTAATGATGGATATGAATCATGAAGAGTCAATTATGAGGAAGGATAATTTTCTTCCTGAAAATGTTGATATTAAAATAGAAATAGTGAAAGAAGAGATGAGAGAAGATTTGATGATCAAATGTGAAGCCTGTAAGGAGTCTATAAGTGGAACAATATGCATTCATAACATGCAATGTAAGTAAATTGTTCAATTGAAACATTTCATATTTGAGATGCATCTCTAGACGAATTATGAGAACGGACGATTGCTTAAGAACAGTTGCAGGTTCTGATGGTAGCATAAAGAGTGAAATAATGGATAACCAGATAATCACAGCCCAGGAACTCGAAGATTCCAAAGTCAAGTGTACTGATTTAGAATTGACACTAGATCAGGAAAGTTCCGTTGATACTAAACAGTTTTCTCCATTTAACACAGACATTGTCAAAACTGAAATCAAGAGTGAAATAGAGGACGAAGACAATGTTTTTTATGAAAATTCAAGTGAAACAATTACCAATACAGAGTCCCGTTTGAATTCTGATATGTTATATCCAGATAATTTTTTGCAGGGATCCTCCAAAGAATCTCAGAAGAGTAAGTGTAGTATCTCCGTTATCACAGATCAAACATATTCTTACAGCTAACTAACCTGAATATTTGCTATTTCTGTATACACGACCTACATTCCCTAGATTTTTCATGTATCTATTTGAATAAATATTGGAAGAATTATTTGCTTCTGAAATATAACTGTGTTATACAACTGTGTGCATTAAAGAGCGCCTTTTCAATTATTTGAACTAGTACAGTCTACTACGTGGCCATATATTTGGCTTCATTAAGAATAGATCTATAATAGACACAGCGGGGAAGGTATTACAAAATGTTATCTAACATGTGGAGAGTGGTGAATTCACATTGTCAACATTGTAGGATCATATTGACTTTCTGTGCAAAAAATTATCAACTCGGCTCTACCTTCTTCACCAGCTGAAAATATTTCTATGTACCAATACATGACTAACTTCGTATTACTAGGTATTTCACTCCCATTTAATGTATGGAACTCTTTTATGTCAAGTGATTTGACAAAGCTACTGTGCTAGCGAAACATGTTGTGATATATTTTTCAAATAAAGTTGGTGGATATCAAATCGTGAGATGTAGGTTTTGAAATTACTATGAATATTCATCAAGTAAAGGCCGAATCAATCAGAAAAAAAATGGAATTATTGTATTGCACTGCAGAAGTATACTGTTGGGCTGCATTTTGAATGGAGTTGTTTATTTCAGATTTTAAAAAGATGTTCCACTTATTACTAGTGACCCAGCATGAACTTTAAAATATTTCTGTTATTTTCATACATGAGCGATTCAAATTATATCCTTGCCGTTTTTTCAGATATTGAAACTGAGGAAAGAGAATATGCAGATGAAAAACTCTTTCAATGTAATTTCTGCTGTAGATCATTCACTCACCTGAGTGACTTGAAGAACCATGAGAGCTACCACAAGACTGAAACATCACATAGTTCTACAATTGATTCTGGAAAAAATGAGTATAAATGTGAAACCTGTTCAAAATCTTTTTCAGATTGTTCTGNATATACACATGGCGGTGTTCTCATGTTGGTACATAAAGATATAGTCAAAGAAAGTGACTATGTAAACAATCTCTACTTACGAGCTACACATTGTATGCTGAGTTGAACCTGAAATGATAAATAAGGTAATCTCGACCTCCAAGTGGACGATTTTGAAGTGTTTCTAAACAGACTGTCTTGGACAGGTTTTTAACCACCTAGATGACTATCAAGAAATCTCCAAATATTGATATTTTTAAATCCAAACTTGAAGCATTACTTATAGAGAAAATCTGTTACACTATTAATGAATTTATATCATGATTCTATCTACAAGAGGGTGTTAATTCAACAATAGATTTTTATATTTGTGCTAAGGATCAAATAACATTTAAAATTTGTATTATCACACTTTAACGTTTTTCAAATGTGTTCTTGTGTATCTGCTTTCATTTAGTATTCACTGAGATATTACAGTTTAAAGTAGACTCATAAAAACAGACAAAACTTTTGAATACAGAAAATTGATAGGTTATATGCATTTTACATAGTCTGTTGTCTTCATTGTTTGTTATATTTTAGTGAATAAATCTATTGTACTTGATGTAGTTTTATTTATTAATCTGTGTCTCTGAGTATCCGTTAGGAGATTTGACTAGATAAATACTGAATATTTCTCAGTGCTTTAGATTAAATTTAAAAAAACCGTTAAATTGACGATATGTGAGGTCAGCAACATATTCCCTTCCGAAAACGCCATCTTTGAGATTTCCATAAAACTCCTTCCTGTGATAAAGGATACATACATGAACTTCAGGGAAGTTTTGAAGGATTTTTTTTGTTAGAGAGCTCATTATAATTTGTCAAAGATACTTTTTAATTTAACTTGTGTATGACTGTAATATTGTCAGATGGAGAGATATTTCACACAGATGATTTCGCCTTAAGATTGATAAGGATCATTTAATTTTACAATCGTACACCTGCAGGATTTAAAAATGTAAAAAGTTTCTTGTTTCAAGGCTAGGGTGAAAATACTACTTGTAGAAGGATGCTTTTACATCACTGGAGAATACCTCAGCAGTGACTTTAATGGGTTAAAACTTTTGAGTGCACATGGAATATTACTGACTGAATAAACTGAATGAATCGACTTTGTTGAAAAGTTATATTCGGTCGAGTTCTAATATGTGTGAACCACATTAAACGTATACGTTGCATATGTAAACAAACCCCCCATTCCCATCCTGATAGAGTTGGATGTAATGGTTGTCTACCAAACTTTAAAAATGGGTGGCAACTTCATTTTTCCTTTTGAAAAAATATCAATTAAAAATTACTTTTCGGATAGCTTGATGGATGTAGCCGTTACTACGTGGTAGGAAATCATAATGAAGAAAAGAGAATTGAAACTTTTTACGCTTTTCACCACTTTTATTTATAACTAACTTTACTGCAGTTTCGTCCTGACAGTATCAAACTCATACATTAAACTAATATACTTATAGGACGAAACTGTAGTGTCGTTAGTTACTGGTAAATGGTAAATAACTTAGAACTTTTCAATTCTCTTCTCTTCATTGTCGGATAGCTTTAGTGACTGAGGCTTAAGCAATTTAGGTAATAGTTTTAAAGAAGATGAGACAGTTGACAGGCAACAATTTGGTCCCTATGTTAGTTTACCGTTTTTCAATAAAAGTTGAAAACACTCTTTTCACTGGCCAAATATGCCAAGCAGAAAGCAACGATCATACAAAATAAACTGAAGGATACTAATTCTCCGTTGACGTCCTACAAAAATTTGGTAGGTAAAATAGAAATAATTTTTTTTTCAGGTTATGCTGATAATGTTGAACCCATAAATCTTTTAAGGCCTACGGTAAAAACTATAGAACCTTCGAATGATTCTTGTGATCAATAAATGTTGATTTAGATTTACCTGACAAGGATAACATTTGACCGACCATTCTTAAATTTGCACTATCAGAAAATACACACCGTTTCCATTTTTGAATAGCGAAACATGTGTTGCCTTTTTGTGAAAATCCCACAATGAAGTGCTTATTGAATGAGTTAAGGATTATCATCAAGTATAGGCTGATTCCCTCACATATCTATCTTATAATGGCTGTAAGATAATTAATAAATTACCCACCGATATCAAAGATATACATAGATTTGAGAGATTCAACAAAGTATTGATATCACTGTTGTTGAAAAAGTCTGTCTAGTCTCTGAAACTATAGTTTATTTATATATTTTTTCAATAATACTGTCAAACCTCGTGTGGTTGCTGTTTAGTTTGTTTG